GAGGAGGATTGTGTACCAGACTGCAAACATATATTGCAAATATTACTCCTACAACCAAGAAAGAACGGTATATGTTTAAAACACCCAGGTTCACTTATGATTCGGCTAAAGGCCTATCTCTACGGAGTGATTGCGCGTCAACATCACCCCCTGACTGGGATTTCTTCCCCCGGTTAGAAGCTTCTTTCTTCAAGTCTTTGGAGGCGGCCCGTTTTTTCTCGTGAGGAGAAGGGATGTCAGTTTGTCCTTCCCTTCTGCCTTCGGGAGAGGAAGCTCCAATTTCCCCGGATAAATTGCCTGGTGTGCCTCCATAGGAGAGACTACCTTGTGCCTCCTTGCTCTTCTCCTTGTCTTCCCTCACCGGCGCTTAATAGGGTGCCGGACCCAGCATACTAGTTAACAATGGATCTGATGAGTCTTCGGGAAGAGGAGCCGAACACCGAATTCTCTCCGCCTTCTTTAACCAACCCTGGCTAAGTAGAGTTTTATCCGTACGTTGTTATAAGGAATTTGACAAAACTGTGTTCAGAAGTTAAGTGCTTACCGGGGTATCTGGATGATTGCAGTCAAGACCAATGTCTTATGTAGTATCCGGCCACTGTTTTCGTGCGCCGAAGAACAATTTCCACATCTCTCTGAGCATCTTGCCAGAGAAGTGCTGAAGAGTCCGGGACCTTCCGGATTGAACTCCCACATGCGGAGAGGGCATCGCTGACAAGGTAGGATCCGGTGAACTAGCATTACCTGGATTATATTGATAAGACCGGTGTCCTTCTCAATGAGGCTTCGAATGCGACTTTGCAGCATCCGCACTTCATCAATAGATCCCCAGTCCAGCCCTTTGTTAATCCATGACGCGAGCTGTGGCGAAGGGCCAGATCGAAACTCAGGTGTAGCTGCCCACTTCTTACCGCGAGGTTCAGTGATATAAAACCACTCCTGTTGCCATAGGTCAAAGGACTCTGCGAAGGAACCCTTTGGCCAAGCTTGTTTATCAAAGCACCGCCGCACTCCGCTTGTTTCCCATATACTACCCTCGGTTTCACGTTAAAGGTTTTAAGCCATAAGCCAAAGTGTGGGGTAATGCGGAGGAAAGCCTCACACGTGATGATAAACACCGAGATGTGAAGGAAAGAGTCTGGAGCTAGATCATGGAAATCTAGTCTATAATTAAACATGAGCCCTCGAACGAAGGGATGAAGAGCAAAACCTAGCCCTCGGAGGAAGTGAGATATAAACACAACCCTCTCATTGGATCTAGGAGTAGGGATAACCTGCCCTTGAGCAGGAAGCCCGTGAAGGATTTCCATAGTCAAGTACATTGCCTCCCCGAGCTTCGTGATGTCCTCCTTTGTGACAGAAGAGGCCGTCCACCGGCCTTGAAGGCTGGATCCGGACATAGCTGGAGGTCCGAAGCGACTGGGTTAAACCTTGGGTGTTGCAGCTTGAGGTGGGAGGAGAAGAGGATTAGCGTGGAAAGAAAAAAGACAGGTCTTGGCCTCTTTATAAACACGACGAATATCAAACGTCCCCTACGTGGCCTTAAAACAAGCCTATTCCCAAGGAATCATACCAACGGAACGGTTGGGTTACCCACACCCGTGTTGATGAGAATCCCGTGATAAGGGGACACGATCTCTGCTTCGACAAGACGTTCCAATAGAACCGCCTCGCGAAGCGTGGAGTAGCAGGCTGGAAAAACGATTCAAAATAATGGCCGGACGATGAAGTAATGCCGCGTTGCAAACAATTGTTAGCGGATTGGACTCGTGAAAATATTATACTCTCTATGGTTGTGTGTGGTATTTGTTTTGCAGAGCAGGACACGATTCTTGTGTTCAAAATCTACTTTGAAGTATTCGGAGAAGGAACTCGATTTGCAATGGCGAAGACAATCTGCACGCCGGACTCATCGTCATTGAAGCCTGGTTCAGGGGCTACTGAGGGAGTCATGGATTAAGGGGTCCTTGGACAGCCGGACTATACACATGGGCCAGACTGTTGGGCTATGAAGATACAAGATAGAAGACTTCGTCCCATGTCCGGATGGGACTCTCTTTTGCGTGGAAGGCAAGCTTGGCAATTCGGATATGTAGATTCCTTTCTCTGTAACCGACCTTGTGTAACCCTAGCCCCCTCCGGCGTCTATATAAACCGGAGGGTTTAGTCCGTAGGAGAACAACAATCATAATCATAGGCTAGCTTCTAGGGTTTAGCCATTACGATCTCGTGGTAGATCAACTCTTGTAATACTCATATTCATCAAGATCAATCAAGCAGGAAGTAGGGTATTACCTCCATAGAGAGGGCCCGAACCTGGGTAAGCATTGTGTCCCCGCCTCCTGTTACCATTAGCCTTAGACGCACATTTTGGAACCCCCTACCCGAGATCTGCCGATTTTGACATCGACAGAGGGCGGCGTGGTCGTCCTCGACAGCGACAACGAGGATGTGTCCGGGCCGTCCAACCCCCCGCGCATCGGCGACACCGGTCAGGGGTGCAACAGGGACGGCGGCGGCACCCAGCACGACGGCGACGACGACGGCGACAGCGACTACACACGGTTCTACAGGCTCCCCGGCATGTAGAAGGCGGGCGGCGGCGGTGGCTATGTGTAGTTGTTTTTAGTTTGTTTTTTTTTAAGTTTTTTGTAAAATATCAATGAAATCGCCTAGTTTGGACGTGGTTTGGCCGATTTCATGTTTCAAAAAACGGCGTCTGGGGGCGACCTGGGGGCGGTGGCTGGGAACCCAGCCGGCCCCACGCCGAGATTATCGCCGGTTCGCCCCCAGGCGGCGATGTTTCAAGCGCCTGCGGGGCCGAACGGCTGGAGATGCTCTTAGTAGTTTCCGCCAAATGAGATGAAACATTTGAACTAATTTCCGCCAAAATGAAGCATGTGAAGAAAAAAATCAAAGTGATTAAGGAGCTTCCGCCACACCAAGCAAGCTAATCCTTTGCTAAACCCTAATAGCAGCACAACAACAACCATCCGCCATCTGAATAGAGGGGAGAGGGGTACGTGATGCCTTTTGATTGGGCACGCGAATGTTCGGACAACCACAAAGCCTTTTTGTTTGGTTTCGATTTGCGGAAAAACAAACGACCAGATGCGTCGGCGGACCGATACGGGTCCGCGATGTATGGCAAATTGTATATAAACATCTGAGTCCAGATGCTTGCGAGAGGTTTGAGGCCTTGAGAATCTGCTTTGAAGATGTCCTTAGTGAATTCCGTTCAGCAAAATTAAACTACTCTGAGGGGATCGCTTGCACATTCATGACGTGGGTTGGGATACGTCATAGCTTGGTTCGATCAGTACTAAATTTTCGCATGAGAGAGCCACAGACGCGGTCGACTAAGAGCATCTCTAACAGGCGCGCAACGCGCGACGCGCTAAAAATGAAAATACCGCGCCGGATGAGGCAGGTTTTGCGCGCGGCGGTGCGCTGGCTCCGGCGGCCGCCGCAAAATAAAGCGCGCCCGAGCCGCTCCAGCAGGCATGCTATATTTCACTTTTTTTTCCTTGAGACGGTTGTATATATAGCATACGAATATGAAGATAGTTCGGCACATAGCCTGCTTCTACGATACGAAATAAAACTAAAAACTACTACTACTCATTTTCCGACTCGGACTCTGCCTCGGTGATGTCCTCCTCCGACGTCTGAGCATAGCCATCAAGGAACCGCTTGTCGCGGGAGTCCCAGGACGACACATCTCCTAGCGCCATGTTGTATTTAGCGACCGCCTTCCGCGTTCGCTTGTCCTCGCGATAGGCGGTTCGCTCCTTCCTTCTCTCCTCCCTCTCCGTCCTCCTCTCGGCGAAGAACTGTTCCTCGTTGATGATGTCTTGCGGGAAGCGTTGCCTCCACAGCGCCATGGCTTCCTCGTCCATCTCGGCCAGGCTAAGACGGCGCTCCCGACTCCGGTGTTTGTGATGATCCTTGTCAGTGTTAAGCCGCGGGAAAAGGCGCCAACTCCTGCGCCCGCTCCCGCGTCGCCACGTAGGTGAAGTTCATGTCCCAACGGGACCGCCGGAGGCGCCATGCTGCAGCGTCGTACGCGCGGACGCCATCCTGGACGGTGTCGAAGGTTCCGAGGCCGAGGCGCACGCCGCCGCCCGACTGAATCGAGGCGGAATAGGTGCCGAACGAACGCACGCGGACCCCGCGGTAGCCCGAACCTTCCGAGCGGCGAGGCGACATGATGGCGCGGTGGTGGCGTGTCGGCGGCAAGGAGAGAAAGCAGTGGAGGGAGCGAGAGAGAGCGGTAGAGGGCGCTGCAATTTTATAGACGCGCGCGAAGCGGCGCGTCAAATCTAGCGCGCGAGCTGCCGCCTTTTTACGCGCGCGCGCAATCGTTTCCCGCGCGCGCTAGTTTGCCGCCACCACTGGAGGCCACGAAACCGGGCCGCTAAAAAGCTAACCCCTTTTCACGCGTTGCATGTGCTGCGGTGTCTGCTTCACCGATCGGTGACGAGGTTAGTAGTTGTAACTTAACAAACGACCGGACCGGCCGCGCGATCAAGTCTTATTCCAATATTGCATTCATGGTTAAATGATGGAGGAAAGAAAATGGCAGCTCCCTGCGTCTGTCCAGTCTGACTTTATTTGATCAAGAAAGCCTGCCTGAGAGGCCGATCGAGATGATAGGGTGGGGGGACGTGTACAGGGTGGCGGCCGCCATGGCGCCGCTCTACTTCGCTCTCGGCCTCGGCTACGGCTCCGTGCGGTGGTGGAAGCTCTTTACCGCGGACCACTGCGACGCCGTCAACCGTCTCGTCGTCTTCGCCGCCGGCTACCGCGTCCTGGCGGCCGACGCCATCGCCAAGCTCATCGTCGTGCTCGCGCTAGCCGGGTGCGCCGCCGTCCGGCGCGCCAAGGCCGCGACGCGCCGCGGCGGCAGCGCACCCTCGTCCTACTCCTGGTGCATCACCGGCTTCTCGCTGGCGGCTCTCAACAACGCGCTCCTCGTGGGCGTGCCGCTGCTGGACGCCATGTACGGCAAGTGGGCGCGCGACATCATCGTGCAGCTCTCGGTGCTGCAGGCCGTCGTCTGGTTCCCGCTGATGCTCATCGTCTTCGAGGCGAGGCAGGCCTGGCTGGAGGTGACCTCTGAGCCGGCTGATCAAGGCGCGCGCGAAGAAGGCGATCAGTCGGCGCTGGCCCAAGGCGCGCGCGAAGACGGCGGCCAGGCGGCGTTCGGGAGTGACGTCGAACGGCCAGCACAAGGTGAAAACGGCCGGAAGACGGTGGCGACGGGGTGCGCGTTCTGGGCGCCGCTGCTGCGAGCGGTCGGGGTGAAGCTCGCCCGCAACCCCAACGTGTACGCCAGCCTCCTTGGGGTCGCGTGGTCTTCCGTGGCAAACAGGTTTGCATCATTGCATGTGCCATGTTGCACAACAGAATTAGCTAATTAGCGAATTTCTCAGTTGCAATAATTCATCCAATTATGTAATCTAGTGCATGTGTTTGCAATCATATGAATATAGGTGGCACCTGAAGATGCCAACCATCATAGATGGCTCGATCGCGATCATGTCAAAGACCGGCATTGGAATGGGAATGTTCAGCATGGGTACGTAACGACCTAACAAATCTAGCTGCAATTAGCTATCAAAAAAGTCAACCGCAATTAGATCCGTTTCAAGATCGGTTTTGCTATTTCCCCCGCAAAAAAAAAAAATCGGTTTTGCTATTTATTTGTCAAACCAAACTCCATGGTCATTTCAAGTACGAATTCAATGGTACATTTTTTTGTCAAATATAACCTACTCTAAATTTGATCGATCTACTCTCTTTGTCCCATAATATAAAAGTATTTTTGTACATTAGTATAAAAAACCCTCTTATATTATGAGATGTGGGAGTAATTAATAGTCAAGTACATTTTGAAAATGTGTGCGGGTCCTTGTTCATTGTAGTGGAGGAAGCACCACATTTATAGCAATGACTTTTTCAAAAATAACTAGTCAATCGATCAATTATACTTGTTCCATGGCAACATTTTGAGTTTAGGTTTTATTATGGAGTTAATTATACAAAAGCACCACATTAAAAGCTAGGTTTGCATAAACCACCGGTCTATCGATTTGTGACAAAAACACTGATTGGTGGGTAATCTCTTTGCATAAACATTGATTGACGGGTTAGGGTGTTTTTCCTTTTTGACAAACCTGTACAAATAGTTCCTGCAAATTTAGCGCCCCCCCCCCCCATGTGATGGTTTTGTGCAAAAAAAACAGTTGTGGTTGTTTTGTGTAATTAACTCACCTATTGTGTTCTCAAGAGGAAATTGATGTAGGTTATATGTTACGCGATTGCTCGATCTAGTACAGAGTTATCGGGGGTACACGAATTTGGTAGGTAGTTGTGCTCAGAAACAGAGAAGAAAAGGGGATCGGGAGAGAGATAGCCGCCGCCGCCAGAGTCGTCTCGTTTCTCCTTGCCTTCCTTCGGTTGCCATCTCCCTTAAGTACTGGCTAGGTTTCCCATTGGTGGGCTGGGAACCGGGTGCTGGGCCTGCGGATCCGCTTGGTGGGCTACTGGACCGTTCCCTCCGGTGTGCTGCCTGTGTGGGTGCGAGCCGGGGTCGCAACACTCTCCCCTCTTTCAGAAACAGCTTCTCCCCAAGCTGGTGCTCCTGGATAGTGCTGATGTAGTTCCTCCCGGTCTTCCCAGGTTGCTAGCGATGCTGGTTGAGCCGTCCAGCGCACCAGCACTTGCTCCACTTGAGTCTTGTCGCGAACATGGAGGCGGTTGTCGAGGATCTCCTCCGGAATGGGACTTGGCGCCGCGTCCTCCGGTAAGTCGGGCAGCGCCTGCTCCGTGGGAGGAAGGGCGCGCCGAAGCTGCGAGACGTGGAAGACGGGGTGGATGGTGCATGTTGCCGGCAGCCTGAGCTTGTATGCCACTTGTCCCACTCGCTTGATCACCTGGAAGGGGCCAAAGTATCGAAAGGAAAGCTTTTGATTAGCTCGCGTTGTTGGGGAACGTAGTAATTTCAAAAAAATTCCTACGCACACACAAGATCATGGTGATGCATAGCAACGAGAGGAGGAGTGTATCTTCATACCCTTGAAGATCGCTAAGCAGAAGCGTTTATCAACGCGGTTGATGTAGTCGTACGTCTTCACAATCTGACCGATCCAAGTACCGAACGCACGGCACCTCCGAGTTCTGCACACGTTCAGCTCGATGACGTCCTCGCCTTCTCGATCCAGCAAGACGGGCGAAGCAGTAGATGAGTTCCGGCAGCACGACGGCGTGGTGACGGTGTTGGTGAAGAACAATCTCCGCAGGGCTTCGCCTAAGCACTACGGAAACTATGACGGAGGATAAACTAGAGGGGGCGGGATTGCCGGCAGACGGCTTGGTGTTTCTTGATGTGTCTTTGGTGCTAACCCTGCCCCTCTATTTATATGTTGAGCCTTGGGTCGAAACTTGGAGTAAAAGCCTCCACAAAGTCGGTTTCACCCGAAAGGCAAGAGTCCTTCTCGGACTCCAGGGCCAGACGCCAGGGTTCCCGGCGTCTGGACCCAGACGCCAGGGACCCTGGCGTCTGGCCCCTGGACTCCGCAAAACTTCCTTTTGCGCTTTCCAAAAACCTTGTGGGCTTTCCCATTTGGGCCAAATAACATGTTCTCGTACCCAAACATTTCGGGAAACATCCGGAACCCCTTCCGGTGAATTTCGGAACTCTTCCGGAGATCAAACACTATTATCCCATATATCAAACTTTATCTCCGGACCATTCTGGAGTTCCTCATCATGTCCATGATCTCATCCGTGACTCCGAACAACATTCGGTTACCAACATACATAACTCATATAATACTATATCGTCAATGAAACGTTAAGCGTGCGGACCCTACGGGTTCGAGAACTATGTAGACATGACCTAGAACTTGTTTCCGGCCAATAACCAATAGCGGGACCTGGATGCCCATATTGGCTCCCACATATTCTATGAAGATCTTTATCGGTCAAACCGCATAACAACATACGTTGTTCCCTTTGTCATCGGTATGTTACTTGCCCGAGATTTGATTGTCGGTATCCAATACCTAGTTCAATCTCGTTACCGGCAAGTCTCTTTACTCGTTACATAATACATCATTCTGTAACTAACTCATTAGCTACATTGCTTGCAAGGCTTATAGTGATGTGCATTACCGAGAGGGCCCAGAGATACATCTCCGACAATCGGAGTGACAAAACCTAATCTCGAAATACGCCAACCCAACATGTACCTTCGGAGACACCTGTAGTACTCCTTTATAATCACCTAGTTACGTTGTGACGTTTGGTAGCATCCAAAGTGTTCCTCCGGTAAACAGGAGTTGCATAATCTCATAGTTACAGGAACATGTATAAGTCATGAAGAAAGCAATAGCAATATACTAAACGATCAAGTGCTAGGCTAACGGAATGGGTCATGTCAATCACATCATTCTCCTAATGATGTGATCCCATTAATCAAATGACAACACATGTCTATGGTTAGGAAACATAACCATCTTTGATTAATGAGCTAGTCAAGTAGAGGCATACTAGTGACTATATGTTTGTCTATGTACTCACACATGTATCATGTTTCCGGTTAATACAATTCTAGCATGAATAATAAACATTTATCATGATATGAGGAAATAAATAATAACTTTATTATTGCCTCTAGGGCATATTTCCTTCAGTCTCCCACTTGCACTAGAGTCAATAATCTAGATTACACAGTAATGATTCTAACACCCATGGAGTCTTGGTGTTGATCATGTTTTACTCATGGAAGAGGCTTAGTCAATGGGTCTGCAACATTCAAATCCGTATGTATCTTGCAAATCTCTATGTCTCCCACCTGGACTTGATCCCGGATGGAATTGAAGCGTCTCTTGATGTGCTTTGTCCTCTTGTGAAATCTGGATTCCTTTGCCAAGGCAATTGCACCAGTATTATCACAGAAGATCTTCATTGGTCCCGATGCACTAAGTATGACACCTAGATCGGAAATGAACTCCTTCATCCAGACTCCTTCATTTGCTGCTTCCGAAGCAGCTATGTCCTCCGCTTCACATGTAGATCCCGCCACGACGCTTTGTTTAGAACTGCACCAACTTACAGCTCCACCGTTCAATAAAAAACACGTATCCGTTTGCGATTTAGAATCGTCCGGATCAGTGTCAAAACTTGCATCGACGTAACCATTTATGACTAGCTCTTTGTCACCTCCATATACGAGAAACATATCCTTAGTCCTTTTCAGGTATTTCAGGATGTTCTTGACCGCCGTCCAGTGATCCACTCCTGGATTACTTTGGTACCTTCCTGCCAAGCTTATTGCTAAGCACACGTCAGGTCTGGTACACAACATTGCATACATGATAGAGCCTATGGCTGAAGCATAGGGAACATCTTTCATTTTCTCTCTATCTTCTGTTGTGGTCGGGCATTGAGTTTGACTCAACTTCACACCTTGTAGTACGGGCAAGAACCCTTTCTTTGCCTGATCTATTTTGAACTTTTTCAAAACTTTATCAAGGTATGTGCTTTGTGAAAGTCCAATTAAGCGTCTTGATCTATCTCTATAAATCTTGATGCCCAATATATAAGAAGCTTCACCGAGGTCTTTCATAGAAAAACTTTTATTCAAGTATCCCTTTATGCTATCCAGAAATTCTATATCATTTCCAATTAATAATATGTCATCTACATATAATATCAGAAATGCTACAGAGCTCCCACTCACTTTCTTGTAAATACAGGCTTCTCCATAAGTCTGTATAAAACCATATGCTTTGATCACACTATCAAAGCGTTTATTCCAACTCCGAGATGCTTGCACCAGTCCATAAATGGATCGCTGGAGCTTGCACACTTTGTTAGCACCTTTTGGATCAACAAAACCTTCTGGCTGCATCATATACAACTCTTCTTCCAGAAATCCATTCAAGAATGCAGTTTTGACATCCATTTGCCAAATTTCATAATCATAAAATGCAGCAATTGCTAACATGATTCGGACAGACTTAAGCATAGCTACGGGTGAGAAAGTCTCATCGTAGTCAACCCCTTGAACTTGTCAAAAACCTTTTGCAACAAGTCGAGCTTTATAGACAGTTACATTACCATCAGCGTCAGTCTTCTTCTTAAAAATCCATTTATTCTCAATGGCTTGCCGATCATCGGGCAAGTCAACCAAAGTCCATACTTTCTTCTCATACATGGATCCCATCTCAGATTTCATGGCCTCTAGCCATTTTGCGGAATCTGGGCTCATCATCGCTTCCTCATAGTTCGTAGGTTCATCATGGTCAAGTAACATGACTTCCAGAATAGGATTACCGTACCACTCTGGTGCGGATCTTACTCTGGTAGACCTATGAGGTTTAGTAGAAACTTGATCTGAAGTTTCATGATCAAT